TTAAAAGTCAAGAAATAGGCTGGAAAAAAATGAGCAAACAATGATAAAAGAATGTGAGCATTGAAAGTTACTATGGTGACAGGGAATAAAACCACAAACTCAGGAGAAGACAACAAAGTCAAAGCTGCTACATCCAAAGCCTCAAAGGAAAAATGTGAATTGATCTGAGGCCCAAAAAGAATCCTGGAAGAGCTCAAATAAGTGAAATGCAGGAAAAATTGGAAAAAGAAATGATAATGATGCAAGAAAAGCATTAAAAAGAGCCAACTGGGTGGAGCTAAGATGTCGGAGTGAAAGCAGTGACTTCCTTGAGCTCTCCTCCAAACCCTCCAAATACTCATAAAAAATGGCTCTAAACAAATTCTGAAGCAGCAGAACCCACAAAAAGACAGAGTGAAACAAATTTCCAGCCAAGACAACCTGGATGATTCATCAGAAAGGTGTTTCGCGCCAGGCTGGGAGCGCAGCAGTGTGCAGGCCACAGCAAACCTGGAGCAGGCCTCAGAGGACTGAAACTCAGACAGCTGTGGCAGTTTCCAGGCTCCTCAATCCACCAATGCCAAACACAACTTAGAAGGTCAATGGGAAAAGTCTGTTTCTGTAGGTGCTGAGAAAGGAATGCGGCGTTTCAATTCCCCAAGAACGTGGCGGGGGGGGGGGCTGCCGCTGCTTCCCAAGCTTGCCCACAGACAGAGGGGAATCCGGCTGATAGAGGGATTGCAGGGATCTCTTTGCTGAGACAGGAATCTCTTGCTTTGCCCGTGTTTGGATCTGGGCCACAGTTCTGGGCGAAGGTGCTGGGGTGAGGAGGAGCGCTGGTATAGTGGAGCTTGTAGTGGCTGTAGAGGGAAACCCCTCCTCACAGTTACAGGACAGAAAGGAGTACTTGTAGTCACAGGCCAGGAAAGGAGTAAACACCTTATCATGCCACCTTGGAAGAACTGAAAATTTATAGGTCCCTACAAGTATCTCTGAAAACAGCTGTACAAACCCCTGAAGCTTGGGACAGTACATTCTCCACATTGGAAGCAGATTATACAAAGAGTTTAAAACTCAAGTAATTGGCTGGGATCATGAGCAAGCAGCGCAAAAAGAGTCAGACTAAATCTTACTTTGGTGAAAAAGAAGATCAAAATATACAACCAGAAGAAGACAACAAAGTCAAAGCTCCTACATCCAAAGCCTCCAAGAAAAATATGAATCAGTCCCAGGCCTTGGAAGAGCTCAAAAGGGATTTTGAGAAGCAAGTAAGGGAAGTAGAGGAAAAACTGAGAGTGATGCAAGAAAATCATGAAAAACAAGTCAACAGCTTGCTAAAGGAGACCCAAAAAAATACTGAAGAAAATAACACCATAAAAAATAGCCTAACCCAAATGGCAAAAGAGGTCCAAAAAGCCAATGAGGGGAAAAATGCCCTAAAAAGAAAAATTGGCCAAATGGAAAAGGAAGTCCAAAAGATTACTGAAGAAAATACTTCCTTAAAAATTAGAATAGAGCAGTTGGAAGATAGTGACTTTATGAGAAATCACGACACAGTAGAACAAATCCAAAAGAATGAAAAATTAGAAAACAATGTGAAATATCTCATTGGAAAAACAACTGACCTGGAAAATAGATCCAGGAGAGAGAATTTAAAAATTATTGGACTATCTGAAAGCCATGATCAAAAAAAGAGCCTAGACATCATCTTTCAAGAAATTATCAAGGAAAACTGCCCTGATATAGTAGAACCAGAGGGCAAAATAGAAATTGAAAGAATCCACAGATCTCCTCCTGAAAGAGATCCCCAAAGGAAAACTCCTAGGAATATTGTAGCCAAATTCCAGAGTTCCCAGGTCAAGGAGAAAATATTACAAGCTGCCAGAAGGAAACAATTCAAGTACTGTGGAAACACAATCAGGATAACACAAGATTTAGCAGCTTCTACATTAAAGGAGCAGGGCATGGAATATAATATTCCAGAGGGCAAAGGAGATAGGATTACAACCAAGAATCACCTACCAGCAAAACTGAGTATAATCCTTCAGGGGAAAAAATGGTCATTCAGTGAAATAGAGGACTTTCAAGCATTCCTGATGAAAAGACCAGAGCTAAATTTGACTTTCAAATACAGGACTCAGTGGAACATAAACAGGAAAGAGAAATCATAAGAGACTTATTAAGATTAAACTGTTTACATTCCTGCATGGAAAGATGATATTTGTAACTCATGAGAACTTTGTCAGTATTAGGGTAGTTGAAGGAAAAAAATTGTATGTATGTATATATAGATAGATAGAGGGCACAGGGTGAGTTGAAGATTAAGGGGTCATATCTGGAGAATAAAATTAAGGGATGAGAGAGGATGATATTGGAGAAGAAAGGGAGAGGTAGAATGGGGTAAATTATCTCACAAAAAAAACAGAAAAGTCTCTACAGTGGAGGGGAAGGTGAAGGGATGATGAATCTTATTCTCATAGGATTTGGCTTAAGGAGGAATAACATACACATTCAATTGGGTATGGAAATCTGTCTTACCCTACAGGAAAATAGGGGGAGAAGGGGACAAGAGAGCAGGGGGATGATAGAGAGGAGGGCAGATTGGGAAAGGGGTAATCAGAAGTAAATACTTCTGAGGAGACAGGGTCAAAAGAAAAAATAGAATAAATGGGAGGGCAGGATAAGATTAAGGGAAATAGAGTTAGTTTTTCACAACATGTCTACTAAGGAAGTGTTTTGCATAACTGCACATGTACAACCTATATTGAGTTGCTTGCCTTTTCAATGAGGGTGGGTGAGGAGGGAGGAAGAGAGAAAATTTGAAATCTAAAGTTTTAAAAGCATATGTTTAAAAAAATGTTTTCACATGCTACTGGGAAATAAGAAATACAGGAAATGGGGTACAGAAGTCTATCCTGCCCTACAGGAAAATAGAAGGGGAAGGGGATAAGAGAAGGGGAGAGAGATAGAAAAGAGAACAGACTAGGAGAAGGGATATTCAGAAAGCATGCCATCTTGGGGTGGGGGGAGGAGGGAGATGGGGTGAAAATTTGGAACTCAAAAACTTGCGGAAGTGACTGTTGAAAACTAAAAATAAATAAATTTATATTAAAAAAATAAAAAGAGCCAACAACTTGGTAAAGGAGGTATAAAGAAATACAAAAACAAGGCTTTTAAAAAACAGAATAGGCCAAATGGAAAAAGATACACAAAAATCCACTGAAGAGAAAAACTCATTAAAAAGCAAAATTGGCCAAATCAGGGGGAAAGCACATAAGCCAGGTACTTTCAGCTCACTGAAGAAAATAATACCTTAAAAAATTGAATTGGGCAAGTGGAAGCTAATTACTCTATGAGATACCAAGAAACAATGAAACAAAATCAAAACAATGAAAAAAATACAAGAAAATGTGATATATCTCATTGGAAAAACAATTGACCTGCAAAATAAATCAAGGAGAGGTAATTTAAGAATTATTAGACTACCTAAAAACCATGATCAAAAAAAGAGCCTACATCATCTTTCAAGAAATTATCAAGGAAAACTGCCCTGATATTCTAGAACCGGGGGAGGGGGGAATAGGCAAAGGATATGAAGAGGCTGCCTTCAGACAAAGTAATCAAAGCTATCTATAGTCATATGAAAAATGCTCTAAATCACTATTGATTAGAGAAATGAAAATCAAAACAACTCTGAGGTACCACCTCACACCTACAAGATTGGCTAACGTGACAAAAAAGAAAATGACAAATTTTGGAGGGGATGTGGGAAAATTGAGGCACTAGTACACTGTTGGTGGAGTTGTGAACTGATCCAACCATTCTGGAGAACAATTTGGAACTATGCCCAAAGGGCTATAAAATCATACATACCCTTTGACCCAGCAATGCCAGTACTAGGTCTCTATCCCAAAGAAATAAATAACAAAAAGGGAAAAGACCCATATTTATTTAAAAAAAAATTTATATCAGCTTTTTTGTGGTGGCAAAGAATTGGAAATTGAAGGTATGCCCATCAATTGGGAAATAGCTGAACAATTTCTGGTATATGATTTTGATGGAATACTATTATACCATATGAAATGATGAGCAGGATGCTTTCAGAAAAATCTGGAAAGACATGTATGAACTAATGCGAAGTGAAATGAGTAGAGCACAGTACCAGCAATTATGCAATGATCAACTGTGAATGACTTGGCTATTCTCAGTAATACAGTGATCCAAGACGATTACGAGGAACTTATGATGATATGCTTCTCCAGAAAAAAGAACTTAGAGAGTCTGAATGTACATTGAAGCTTAATTTTTTTTTAACTTTTTTAATTTTTCTTGGTCTCTTTTCACAACATGACTAATGTGGAAATGTTTTGCATGACTGTACACATATAACCTATATCAAATTGCTTGCTTTCTCATTGAGGGAGAGAATTTGGAACTCAAAATTTTAAAAATGAATGTTAAAAACTGTTTTTACATATAATTGGGAAAAATAAAATAATAAATGAAAACAAGAGAGCAATAAAAGATAGCAAATCAAATAGCAAATAAAAATCATAATTTTATACCAAAAACCTTACAAAGATAACAACGAAAATTTATTTTATTTTTTCTGGGTAATTAATATTTTTATTTTTCAACTTCATAGTATTTTATTTTTCTGATTTCATGTAAAGATAGTTTTCAATATTCACTTTTGTAAGATTTTGAATTCCAAATTTTTTTATCTTTTCCTCCCCTTCCTCCATACCAAGATGGCAAACAATCTGATATCAGCTATATGTTATACAATCGTATTAAACACATTTCCACATTAGTTGTGTTGTGAAAGAAGAATCAGAAGAAAAGGAAAGACCATGAGAAAGAAAAAACAAAACAGAAGAAAAAATAGTATCCTTCAATCTGCATTCAATCTATTCTCTATCCCTATTATGTTTGTTATTTGTTTAGTTGAGTTTGAGGGGTGCGGTCAGAATGCTAATGGAATTTTTAAAACGTATAAAAATCTGTCTTCTACTTTGTAGAGCATACAGATTTGGGTATATGATCCAGAAAATGCAAGTCCTGAGGAGTTGGCCTCCAACGCATCAAATCCTTCACTTGTAAGTGGAAACATTCTTTATAACACTTTCATAAATATAATTACCTTGCAATTGCTATAGGTAAGCTAAGAAACTCTCATTCATATAAAGAATGAAAAACCACTCTCTGAGCAGTAGATCTGACCTACACTGAGGTACACTGGGGTGACAAAATACATCATCATAATTTTTGGGTTTTCTGTAATTTATAAGTAACTGGCTAATGTGCTTTCCCCCAAAAAAAAGTGAACCAGATTTCCAAAAATTATCAAACATTTCTCAGAAATGCTTAATAAGTGTCCTTTTTGTTTGCCCTGAAACCACTTTCTTAACAGTTAACGTGCCTACATGGGCTGATCCTGAAGTGAATCAGAATGGCAATGTGTTTTAGTTGGATACAACCAAAAAGCTTGTCTAGTCTTGTTTAGTAGCCAGTAGCAAGAATCTTCTCAGAGGCTTCCCTAACAAGTGACCATTTAGCCTATACTTTTAACCTTCTGCTGATTACGGACTGCAACTACCCTGTCTTTGGTTAATCCTCTTGCTCTAATTCCTGTCATCCAAAATGGCTGCCTGCCTAAGTGAAAATGTCTTCCTTTTGCTGTCCTTATTCATACTGTCATCTCCATCTGCTTAAATTCAGTGGTCCATTCCTTCCACTGAACCCTCTAGAATTCCTGCTTTGTCATTTGCAAGCTGCCCTTTGTCCTCACACTCTTCTTCCTATACTCCTTACTCTTCAAGCTAAAGGAAACCTGGTCCTGATGACACCATATCCCTTTATACCTGGCTCATGGTTTTCTTTGTCACACCAATCCTTGCCATTGTCACACCAATATTCACATTGATGGCCCCTCTAATACTAGCCTCTCAGTTCATCAAGACTTCTATCTCTGTCGTATCTTGCTACCACCAATAGTGGTCACCTCTTAGACTTAACCATCACTGAAAATTGTTCCCACCTCTAAGATCTTGAATTCTAAATTTCTGAGATCACAATTTCCTGAATTTCTATCCTCCCATTGTATCATTCCTGTATCATCTGTATTGTAATCTTGATCCCAAGTGAGAAGGCTTCTGGAGTACAGTGGAAAAAGAAATTCAGGGAATTAGGAACAGAATTTTGAGGAAAACTAGTGATTCTGAGAAGTTCCAAAGATTCTAAGAAGATTCGATTCCTTTCATGTATTCCTTCCATCCTTTGACTTCTCCCTAGAAAGCACCTTATCCCAGGCCACTCTCTCTAACATTCCTGGATGTAATTTCCTCATTTTTGTCTCTCCCTTACTCAGGGAGTAGAGTCAGTATCCTCCTTGCTCCACAGTGACATCTGCAGAATCTCTTTCTGCTAATTGAGAACCTTTGCTTCTTTAAGATTCCTTTGAGTCCATATAGCCTATCCAGATCCTGGTTACATTTATCTCAGTTATCTACCGGCCTCCAAGTCATTCCCCCTCCTTTTTCAATGAATCCAGTACCTAAATCATAACATTCCTCTTCAATCCAATCCCAGCCCTTATATTTTGAGATATATGTGCGTACACGTACATTTCTATGTACATATATACAAATATATATGCACATGCCTATGCCTTGAAAGAATATATTGTGTGTAGGGGGCAGCTAGGTGGTGCAGTGGATAGAGCACCAGCCCTGAAGTCAGACCAAACACTTGACACTTACTAGCTGTGTCACCCTGGGCAAGTCACTTAACCCCGATTGCCTAAAAACAAACAAAAACCAAAAAGAATATATTGTGTGCTTATTTGACAGAGTTATGGAGAGATTGATATAGATATACAGATATCTGGTAAGCAGCATACTACTGATAGCTACTTGTCATTATAGAAAAAGTCAGCAAATTTGGAGCACTTCTTTTTGTAAAAGAAAGAATGCTTAACATTTTCAAGTTCAGCAACTCTTTGAAGCACTTTACTAAGAGATAACCAGAAGGCCTCTGTATGATACAGGAGATTGCCATGGTGATTCCCCTTCTGATTTTACTTGCACAGAGACTATAAACTATATTAAATTAGAAGCAGGCATGATTATTTTGCTTTTTAAAATTTCCTGTGTTAATCCTGAGAAATTAGGGTAAATTTATACATAGTAATTGTTAGTGTTTAATTATCCAGTTAATTTTATCGATATAGCTACTTGAACATGAATTTTTAAATTTTTTATTTAAAAAATGCAAAATAAAATAATAGATCATAACAGTCAGTGAACATAACAGCTTTACATCAAAATTAATGTTTCTCTGTATAGAAATTCTCACCATAAACAATACACTCCAAGCATGGGAGAAAGCCAAAACAAAGACACAGGAAAGGAAAAATGATGTCTTGTATGGGGACCAGCAAAATGGTCAGTTTGGCTGGTCCATAGAAAGTAGGAAGGGGAATGTTATATGTTAAGGCTAGAGAAATAAGTTGGAACCAAGTTGTGAAGGACTTTAAATGCCAAACAAAGACTTAATATTTAATCCTAGAGTAAACAGGGACCACAGGAGTTTATTGGGTAGGAGAATAAAGGCCTGAACTCCAAGAAAAAAATCACTTTGGCAACTGTATGAAGGATGTATCGGAGAGGGGGGAAACTTGAGGCAGGGCAATTGACTAGGAGTTTATTTCAATAGTTCAGGCTAAAAATCATGAGAGCCTGAACTGGGTGGTGGCTGTGAGAGCAGGGAGATGGATGGAAGAGATTTTGTGGAAGTAGAAATTATAAGAGTTAGCAACCAATTGGATAGCTGGGACAAGGGGGGCGTGGATCTAAGATGACTCCCAGGATATAAACCTGGGAGACTGGAAAAATAGTGGTGCCCTAGAAAGGAATAAGAAATTTTGAGTAGGGAAGGTAATAAGGAAGAATGGGCTTGGAGAAAAAGGTAGTGAGTTCTTCAATGCAAATTACAAGCCCTCTATACTTCCTCATCCTGTTGACTCATACTGTCCCACCAAAAATAAAAATGGAGGTTTATGCCCATCATATGTCACCAGCCAAGGTTCACCCACCATAGTCAGAAAATGATTCGGCAAAGAGCGGGTGCTGTATATTAGTATATGTATATGCTGGGATGGCAGGAAAAGATTTCCCCAAAGGCAACTCTTGCATAAGTATCAGAGATGTAGTTAGGTTATAACCAACCCAAAGGCAATGCCTGGTATGGAACAAGAGAGATTAGGAGCTTGCATAGTAGGGGAGGACAGCAATGGGAGGGGACAGAGTTGGGGGATATTGGGTAATGATGGGTGAAGAAGGTGGTGGGGTTGAGTGGAAGACAAGCTCCACCATTGTCTGTTGGAGCAAGTGTGAGATTCAGTGCATCTTCCAACCTTTCGATTAGTTGATTACACATCCCCATCCATCATCCCATGGTCCCTTGGATGTATGTACATTCTACTTTGGACATCTCTAGATTAGATGACCTCTAATATTCCTTCTACATCTAAATATATAATCCTGATAGAATCAAGCTAAAAGGCATGTACTTCTTCCATTCAGCTAGCTTCTCTTCTGTGAGAGCCAACCCTCATTCCTCTTTCTGTTTCCTTCTCTCTTTCATATTCAAAGTCTTTAATCATTTCTCTGTTCAGCCAATATTCCAGTTTTTAACCACCTAAAAAAACCCTATTTGTTGCTTACTTTAGTAAATAAGCAAAAAACTTTGTTTGGATGTTTGGTTAGGATGTGAAGCATCCCATCACAAGCATTACTTATGACTCAACCAACCCAGTGCTTCTTTCTGTCTAATTATTTTGAGTAGAAGAAACAGGCTAAGAAAACAACAAAGCTACATCTCTGAAATACACAAAAGCTTAATAATTTCTACTAAAAATATTAAATTAATTCTTTTTACTTGTTGATGGAATAAATTAATTCAATTTATTCCAAAATTAGCATGTTCAAGTATATGTTTTTATGTTAATGTCTATTGTTTTAAAAATATTTTCTTATGGCACCTTTTTATGTAACAATGAAATTTTAGAAGTTTTAAGTTACAATCTGAAATAAAAATACATGATAATCAAAAGTTTTTTCTTTATTTTCACAGAATTCCAAGTCACTTAGTATGCAGTTTCTCAGTATGGGACAAGAACCTATGATTGTGTCAATAATCTCTCATCAAGTTTACCCTCCAGAAATCACAAAGCAAGAAGGGTATTTTACTTAAATATTTCAAATGCAAAATCATTTTTTTATTCAATGAAACTAAAACTAGGTAGATTTTCATGATGAGCTCTACAATCTGAGAGAGAGATGAACTCTCAGTTCAGCTGCCTGAAGAATCTCACACAAGAAGTTGACTCTTAACATTATCTAGGAGTTTAGCACTGAGAATCAAGGGGTATATCGAGTTGCCAGCTTTTCCTATAAAAGGAGTCATTTTTTGCCTCATTTCTTACCTAGCCTTAATCAGTGAATGGGTGTTGCCTCAGACAAACTGTAACCTGGGAAAGACCTTAGCTTAAAAAAGCCAAGGTCTCCCACTGCATCCAGGGCCATCTCCAGTCATCCTGATCTATGTCTTGCCACTGGACCGGATGGCTCTGGAGGACAGAGTAAAGCTAGTGACTTTGCACAGCCTTACCTCACTTAAATCCAATTTACTTTCAAGTCAAGACATCACCTTCCTGGTGTCATTGGTCCTCTTCGAGAATGAAGGACAAACAACAATAATCATGTTTACAACTTGGTGGAAGGGATCTAGGGGAGAGTCGTCCTCTCATTCAACATTCGAAACTCACACCTTCCCTTGAGGTCTCTCTTTCCTTCTCTGCTTCTTTCAGTCAATCAGGATTCAAATTTCTCTATACATATACAGCACAGAGTGAATTGGCAAGTTTGCCTGAGGCTAGTTACATAACATAGCATTTGTGCTCTGGGAATTTGGAGATTTGGTTGAAGGTAAAAATAAAAGGCAGGCTACTCCCTCTTCTGACCCGCATCCTTGGTCAGCCTGATCTAAACATTCTTTTTCTCCTCTCCTCCCTGCCTACCTTTTCTTGAATGACAGCCCTTACCCCCAGCCTACCAAGAGATTTCTTTATGCATGCCTGAAGAGAGAGGGAGAAATAATGGAAAAGTTAATGCCACCTGACAGCCCAATCTCCTCTTGAAAACTTATCTTTATCCATTTTGGGGCATTTATTAAAGTTAGTAAATCAATATCATTCTTCATATCATTCCTGGGCCCAAATCCATATCAAAATTTATCATTGACTTGCTCTCACCAATGATACCAAAACCAGCCACAAATCATGAAATGCAAAAATCAAAAGCAATTATGATTGCTGATATTTTATCGTAGAGTAATTTGGAATTACAGATGAACTTAAAGCAATTTTGGATTAGACATCCTGCCTTCTTGGACAGAAAGGTAGAAGAGACATCTCACCATTTGCATGAATTCCAAGTCAGGGGAAAGTTTGTCACTGATCAGGCGTGCCTCTTTCTCTAGTATTGCCATCTAGTCTTGGACAAAAGTAGTGGTGGCCACAGTAGAGACTGGTCACTCCCTATACTAGCCAGAGAGAACTGTCTCTCTTTACTCAGTGTTCATTTCCTCTCCTCATACTTTCTTGCTCAATCCACCAAATTCTCCATCAATCGATCTATTCCCAAACCTGTGTGTCCATATACATACTATCTCTCACTCTTTGTCTTTCCCTCTGCCTCCCCTTTCCCCATTTCTCTCTCTCTCTCTCTCTCTCTCTCTCTCTCTCTCTCTCTCTCTCTCTCTCTCTCTCTCTCTCTCTCTCTCTCTCTCTCTTTCTCTCTCTCTCTCTCTCCCCCCTCCCTCTCTTTCTCCCCCCCCTCCTCTCTCCTCCCCTTTCTTTCTCTTTCTCTCTACATACTCCCTACCCCAAGAACAGGAAGAAACAGCAGTGTCTCTTTGAGACTACATCTCCCAGAAAGTCACATAACTAGCTCCTCAGAACCTTCTCTATACCCGTGAAGGAATCAGTCTTCCCAAACCTCACTGAAATAGTAGTGGTTGAACACAAACGGTTCAAATTTGGAGTTGATGATGTAATATTGAGAGAAGGAATTCATGCTGAAAGATGTGTTTGAGGCAATAGTGTTTGTAATTAGATGTCCCTTTCCTCAAAAAATTCCCAAATTTATCCAAGGACTTGTCTGATTGTCTCACACTCCCACTGTTAGGTAGGTTAAAGTGTCAGTGTTAGGGGAAATCCAGAGCAATAAGCCTGGAAGTGTAGTCTGCCGTTGTATTATGAAGGCTAGACAATTAGACCACTCTGCTTAGAGTGAGTGATAGAATGCCACAACATGATTTTTCAAGTGTGAACACACATCACTTTCTCACTAAGCATGAATACCTCCCTAGCTAGGTATGACAGGATGTCTGTTCATATTGGTTGAGGAACTTGGTCACACCCTCTTGGTCCTGTATAAAACAATAGAACAAGTTGGAATCAGAGATTCAAGGGTGCAGCACCAAAGAGGAGATAATATTCCAGCTAAACCCCAGAGAAGGAATTTTTCTTCTTTTTAAAAAATTTATTTATTTTTAATACTTTTCTTTTGAAATTTTGAGTTCCAGATTATCTCTCTCCCACCCCTCCTCTACCCACTGAGAAGGCAAACAAAATTGTATCAATTATACATGTGAAATCATGCAAAATATATTTCTATATTAGCCATGTCACAAAAAAGCAAAATAATTATAATAGTAACGAAGAAAGTGAAAAATTATACTTCAGTTTACACTCAGTGTTCATCAGTTCTCTCTCTGCAGATGAGTAGCATTTTTTCATCATAAGTCTTTTGGAATTGTCTTGGATCATTGTATTGATCAGAGTAGCCAAGTCTTTCACAGTTGGTCATCGTTACAACATCGCTGTTGCTGTGCACAAGGTTCTCACTTCACTTTGCATCAGTTCACATTGTTCTTTGATTTCTTCTGAAAACTGCCTGTTCATATTCTTTGACCATTTATCAACTGGACAATGGCTCTTATTTTTATAAATCTGACTCAATACCCTGTAAATTTGAGAAATGAGGCCTTTATCAGGGAAAGTTGGTATAAAATTTTTTGATATTACTGCATTGTCTATAGTTTCCCTGATTATCTCTTTTAATTAGGTCTGGTTTTGCTTTTGCTCTGTCTGAGATCATGATTGTTACCCCTGCCTTTTTCACTTCGGCTGATAATAGGTTCTGCTCTACCCTTTATTTTAACTATGTGTGTGTCTTTCTGCTTCAAGTGTGTCTTTTGATATTGTTGGATTCTGGTTTCTAATCCATTCTGCTATCCACTTCCATTTTATGGATGAGTTTGATCCCATTCACAGTTATGATTATTGTGTATTTCCCTCCATCCTATTTTCTTCTGTTTATCCTTCTCTCTCTTTTGATGCTGTTCCTCCTCAGAAGTCTCTTTTACTTCTGACCATTGCCTCCCTTATATCATTCCCCTTCCATACTTTTTATCCTCCTCCCCTGTTTCCCTTTTGAGCAAGATAGATTTCTATACCCAACTGAGTGTGTGTGTGTTTTCTTCCCTCTTTGAACTAATTCTGATGAGAGTGAGTTTCAAGCATTGCCTACCACCACCACCTCCCTTTCCCCCTTTACTATAAAAGCTCCTCTTATACGTAAGAAAATTTTCCCTGTTCCAACTCTCCCTTCCCCCTTCTCCCAGTGCATCCCCCTTTCTCACCCCTACATTTTTTATTTTGGAGATCATCCCAACACAATCAACTCACACCCATGCCTCCTGTTTATGTAGACTCCTTCTAACTTCCGTAATAATGATAAAGTTCTTAGAAGTAACTTGCATCATCTTCTCATGCCTTAAATTATCTCTCCTCAATCTATTTATCAGGTCAATTTTTTTCCAATGAAATATTTCACATTTTCTTCTATTTCTTTCATTCTTTTGACTTTGTTTTATTGTTTCTTGAAACCTCATGTAATCATTAGCTTCCATTTGCCCAATTCTAATTTTTAAGGAATTCTTTTCTTCAGTGAGCTTTTGTACCTATTTTTCCATTTGGCCAATTTTGCTTTTTAAAGTTCTTTTCTTCAGTGAATTTTTGTACTTCTTTTATCATTAGGCCCATTCTGTTTTCAAGATGTTATTTTCTTCAGTATTTTTTGTGCTTCTTTTACCAAGCTATTAATTCTGTTTTCATAATTTTCTTGCTTCAGTCTCATTTCTTTTCCCAACTTTTCCTCTACTATTTTTATCTCTTTCTTTAACACTTCCAGTAATTCTTGCTGGCCTTGTGTCTAATTAACATTTTTCTTTGAGCCTTTGCTTGTAGCTGTTTTTACATTGTTGCCTTCTTCTAAGTTTATGTCTTGGTCTTCCCTGCCACCATAGTAACTTTTTATTGGTCAAGTTATTTTTATTGTTGTCTGCTTATTTTCACAACCTATTTCTTCACTTTGAACTTTATGCTAAAGTTGGACCCTGCTTACCTGGGGTTGGGGAGGCACTGTGCCAAGCTTCAGGCTTTTTGGTGCTACTGTTTTCAGAGCTAGTTCTGGGGGCCTGCAAGTTTTCAGTGTTTCCAAAGTGGTATTATGCTGGGAGAGTTGTAGTCACTGCTTTCCCGGTCTGTGCTCTGGTCTTTGCCCAGGAAGGGCCCCTGGTCACCTGTAGCTAGCACTCTTCTTGGTCCTGGAACTGTGACCAGGGCTCCTGCTCCCTTGTAACCAGTCACAAGTGCTCCTCTACATCCTGAACTGTGACCCAGAGCTGCTTACAGGCAATATAGTTGCCAATGAGCACCAGCTGCACCCAGTGCCAGCAAAGAGTCCCCTGTAATCTCTTTGTGGCCAATTAGTTATCTGACCCCCTTACCATCTGTGAGCTGAGAGCTCCTGAAGCTGCTGCTGCTGCCTCCAAAGCACACTATTAGTGCTCCTGGCCCACTCTACACCTGTACCTACCCCATTGTCTCAGTCCTCTCCTACAGACCTTCTAAATTGTCTTAGGTTGGGGGGAAGAAAAACAAACAAACATGGCTCCCTATGACCTTTTATTGGCTTTGTTCCTCCAGAATTTTGTTTGAGGCATTATTTCAAAGTTAATTGGAGGGGAATATTGGAAGAGTTCAGCTGGGTCCCAGCCTGTACTCTACCACCTACAGAAGGAATGATTGAGGGAAGAGAAGCAAAGCCCTGGA